TCGAAGCATGCTATTTGCTCTTTTTTTTCTTCTGTTTTGTTTTGTTTCCTCTTTCTTGTGGTTCTTCCTATTGCTTCTAATCCTTCCTTACAACACGACTAATGTGAAAAAAAAAATTTCTGTGTTTTCAGATCTTCTCTGTCTTTAATATTTCAGATACAATATATCAGATATTTATATTTGAAATGATATTTAAGATACAATGGGAAAAGCCCTTTATGTCCTGGTATTGTGTTTATCTCTAGTCTATGCTTCAGAAGTGACTGAAAATCAATAGCCTTCTAGTGTATTTGGCTTCCCCGCCTCCAGGGTCTCTCTCCACTCCAATCTATTCTCCCCACAGATGCCAAAGATCCAGTCCTAAGACACAAGCTCTGGTCACATCCCTCCTTTATATAGAAGGTCCAGTGTCTCCTATCCAAATGACTCAGTTTGGTATGTAAAACCCTTTATAATCTGGCCCCAGATGACTCTTCCAGGTTTATTACATATTACTTCAAGTACTCAACAAACTCTAGCCAAAGTGTCCTGCCTGCTGGTCCTCTTACACAGTCATCTACCTCCAGTCTCTACACCTTTGCCCAGGCTGTCATCCATGCCTAGAATACCCTCCCTCCTCACTTACACTTCTTAGAATCCCTACTGTCCTTCAAAGCTCAGTTCAAGCTCTATAGCCTCTGTGAAACCATTTCTCCTCACACAGCTTCTAATGCCTTCACATCCCCCAAAATGGGCATTACACATGATTGCACATGTGCAGATTGTCTTTCCTTAAAAAAGGCAAGTTCCTTGAGGGAAGGAAGTTTTTTTTTTCTTTGTACTTCTAGGGCTTAGCATAGTACCTTGTACACAATAGGTGATTAATAAATGCTTGCTGATGGATCTATTGATTGAAGACAACCCAGACTCTCTCCTTGAAGCCTTCAATCACTCTCCCCAATCTTCTGCCAGATGAATGGGTTCTCTCCCTCAACAAAACTTTTCAGAGCAACTTGGGATCTCCCCTTCACCAGCACCCAACCCACCCATGTAGCATTATCCTTTATTCACATTCCCTGGAGATGCCCTGGTGTAAAGGACACATAGCTGGTCTTAGAGCCAGGACAATCTGGGTTCAAGTTCTACCACTCACAAAGACTGACCATGCAACCATGGACTCACCCTCTCAGTACTCTAGGCAACTCAAAGTCTATAAATTACTGAGAAGGCACCAAACTGCATTGATAGAGGGTGTTTCCTCACCTGGGATTTCCCCGTGCCAGTGAAAGCGCAGGTCTATCCAGTCCCATCCCTATTTATATCCATGACAACTCCTCCATTAGATTGTAAGCTCCTTGAAGGCAAGGACTATTTTCGCTCTCATCTTTTTTATCCCTAGCACCTAGCCCAGGGCCTTATCCATAGTAGGAAGTTAACAAATGTTAATTGACAATATTTGCTGAAGAAACAACAGAGGAGGGGGCACAGGCTCTCTGGCTTAGTCTGAGGAATAGTGCCTCAGTAGGCCCAGTGATGACCTTGCTCAGTCCCAGGGAGGCCTCTGTTGTTCCAGGAACCTTCATCTGACCCCACCTCTTCACAACTTCCCCCTCTCCAATTCACTGAGCATTCATCTCCCATTGTCTACTCTCAAGGTAGCCATGGCGGATCAAGCCCACTACCTAACTATTACAATTATCACCTGATTGTTCTCTCTCTTATCCAGTCCACATTGCTGCCAGGGTCCTTAACCTTCTTTCTATGTGTGACCTTGTCACTCTACTCACAAACTGTCACTGGCTCTTCATTGCCCACCAAATAAAACAGCGGATCTCGATTCCAAGATTCAAGCAATTCCACAATGTGGCTTCAGCCTCCATGTCGGTGTGTCCTCATTCCATTCCAATTGCCTTCATGAGGACAGAGATTCTTTGGCCAGTTTTTATGAACTTAACTGGACTCAATCTAATTAGGATCCTTTGGAATCCTGAAGGTTTTATTTTATATACTTAAAAGAATTATCCAAAGAAAGGACCATAGAAATCACAAGGGACTTATTAAAGTTGAACTGTTTACATTCCTACATGGAAAGATGATATTTGTAACTCATGAGACCTTTCTCATTATTATAAAGTAGTTGGACGGAACACATATAGGCATAGGGCACAGAATGAGTTGAATATGAAGGGATGATAACAAAAAAGTAAAATTAAATGGTGAGAGAGCAATGAGAGAAATGGAGAGGTAGAAAGAGGTAAATTATCTCACATAAAAAAGGCAAGAAAAAGCTTTTACAGTGGAGGGGAAGTGGGGGAAAGATAAGAGAGAATGAGTGATACTTACTTTCCTCGCATTTGGCTTAAGGAGGAAATAACACACACACTCAATTGGGTATAGAAATCTATCTTACCCTACAGGAAAGAAGGGGGTAAGGGGATAGGAGTGAGGTGATAGAATGGAGGGCAGATTGGGGTAGGGGGTAATCAGAAGCAAACTGTTTTGAGGAGGGACAGGATCAAAGGAGAGAATAGAATAATCGAGGGGCAGGTTAGGATGGAGGGAAATACAGTTAGTCTTTCACAACGTGACTATTATGGAAGTGTTTTGCATGACTACACATGTATAACCTATATTGAATTGCTTGCCTTCTAGATGAGAGTGGGTGAGGAGGGAAGGAGGGAGAGAATTTGGAACTCAAAGTTTCAAAAATAATTGTTAAAAATTGTTTTTACGTGCAACTTGGAAATAAGATACACAGGCAAGGGAATATAGAAATCTACCTGCCCTACAGGAAAGTAGAAGGGGAAGGTGATAAAAGGGAGGGCAGATTGGGGGAAGGGGTAATTAGAATGCATGCTTTCTTGGGGGTGGGGGGAGGAGAAAGATGGGGAGAAAATTTAGAGCTCAAAATTTTATGGAAGAGAATGTTGAAAACTAAAAATTAATTAATTAATTAAATTTTTTTTAAAAAAATTAAAAAGAAAGTGAGGAAAACAGACCCCCCCTGACATCAAGTTTACCTCTATGACTAACTGATGGAAGGACACAAACAAGAGACATATGGGATGATGAAGAATGAATGGTTTGCCATTTGAATCATTGGAGGGAATGCCCTCATTGATAAGATCACAGATCCCTTTATGTATTTGAGTACATACCAAGCTAGATAACCTCTGAGGTCCTTTCCAAATCTGATATTGTACAGTTCTGTGATTCTGGGAACTATATTCAAACTGCTAGACTGGTATTGCTAGCTGTGTTTGGTAGTTTAAATGCAGTTGGCTTTTTCTTTTCTTTTCTTTTTCTTTTTTTTTGTTTTTTGTTTTTTGTTTTTACAAATAAAATGCCATAATCGTTTTTAAAAAGAAAAGAAAGGACCACCAGAGGCTAAAATGGTCCACAGCCAAAAAAAGAAAAAAAAAACCCAAACCCCAGGACACTATTCTAGATAAATTGGACTATTCTCCATTGTCATTTCAATCTTCCCTTTATTTCCTGTCTCCATGTTTTATCACCTGAATGCCCAAGCTGTAACATCAAGTTCTCTCCACTTCTCCCTATTTCTATTCATTAACACCCCTTCCTTCCTTCAAGACCTGACTCAGAGACCACCTAGTCCAGGGAGCTTTATTTCACAGTTGTTCTCTCCTGCCCCCAATTTTTCCCAAAACTTTGTTCAGATCTCTTCCTGCTCTTAACACATTACATTGGAGCATAATCATTTGTGACTCCCCTATGAGACTATAAACTTCTTAAGGGCAGAGGCTAAGACACTTTCACCTTTTTTTTTTCTTCTGCACATTGTTCAGGACTTTGCACACGAGGTGCTTAAGGTGCTTAAGAAATGTTTATTGAATTGAAAAGTTAAATTTCGTTGTCCTAGATAAGCTTTCACTGGTCTCAGAAGCGCACAAGAGGGGCTATAATAACCGAGGACTCATTCCCTGAGTGAAAACTAAATCCATCCCAAAACAATGCCCATTCATACAAGGCAAATGGAAAACTGTGTCCAAAGAGGAACTGTTCCCCCAGAATGAGCCTTCACTGGTCCCAAGAAGCAGCCCCATCAGAACCCGATGGGATTCCCTTGCCTGTCCCGGGGGAAGCCTCACTTCTGTCAGTGGTTCCCATTTGTCCCGGAGGACCCTCATCCATGCCAAGTGGAAGAAAGAATCCTCATGTGCCCCTGAACAAAGCCTCATCAATGCCAAAAGGAATCTTTATCCATCTCAAGTGGAATGGAGACCCCCATCCGTCACAGGGGAAGCCTCCTTGGTATCAGGTACCAACTAGTGGTTGGTCCATTCATGGACTATATAGCCCCCAGATAAAATATTTAATGTCTCCGGTACAAATCTCCATTGGCCTTCCCTGGTCCCTTAGAAGAAAGCCTTACCTATTCTAGGATAAATCCTCTTCATTCCTAGATGAGAGGAAGTCTCACCAGCCCCAGTGATTGATCCTAGAAGTCGTTCCATGTGATGGACCTCCTAGGTTATGGAGTCTGTTCTCACCCTGTTTCCTAGGGGGTGAGCATCTCTGCCAAGGAATACCCCTCACTCCTCCTCTGGCCAAGACAGAGATCAGTGATGACAAGGGAAGAGGTGGAACATGGCCATGCAACGATCCAAGTGGTCAGATGCCTTCCTCATCCAGATGAATGTTAGTACCATGAGTAGGGAGCTGGAAGCCCCTCAGGGGCTGTCAAGCTCAAGCATGCATTTGCAGAAGAGGAAATCAGGGCATCAGGGAGGTGAAGGGACCAAGGTCACACTGGAATGAAGTGGTGGAGGTGGCAACTGACCAGGTCTTCAGTCTCCAGAACAAATGATCCATGCTGCCACCATGTCCCTCAGCCCTTGCCAAGGTTACACAAGAAGTGAATAAAAAAAAAAACCTTTCTGTAACTCTTCCCACCAAATCAAAGTGACTTCTTCATCAGCCCCTCTAGGGAGAGGGAGGTAGGAAGGGGAAGGGAGGGAGAACCCATGGGCCTTTCCTGGGAATAATATAAATAACTCAGACTTATGTAACTTTAAAGTTTGCAAAGTGTTTTATGTACATTATCTCATTTGAGCTTGATAGCAATACTGTGATGCAGGTCCTGTTATTAGCCTTATTTTACAGAAGGGGAAACTGAGGTCCAAAGAGACTTGGAGTTTGAACCCAGGACTCCTTGATTCCAAGTCCAGAGCTCTACCTGTTATTCCACACAGCTAGCAGAGAGATCAGCAGAGACCCAAGCCCAGGTTGGAGAGATCGGGGATGGACAAAGGAATGATGGGCTGGGGGACCCACAGAGGGAGGAGGCTCAGAGAGAAAGAGGGATTTGGGGGAAGTGCTGTAGGTGCTAAGGTAGTGGAGTGGGGAGAAAGGGCTGAGAAGGCCTGGCAGACAAACAGGGAAAGTGGAATTCAGGAAAGGGACTGGAGTCTCAGGGGATGGAGAGGAGATGGGGAAAAGCTAAGAAGACTCCAACAAGAAAAAGAGCTCATGGGGAGAGGCTGGGAGAGGCTGGGAGGGGAGGTAGAAAAGTGGAGGGTAAGCTAGGAAACCAGACAAGAAGGAGAATGTTCCTTAGGCCACAATGGAGACACAGATCCTCCTGTCCCTGTACTGGCTCCCCCCTTCCGGGTGGTGTCCCACAGGAGACCTTCCTGTTCTCTCAGAGATAAAGGCAAAGGTCAAGAAATTCCTTAGTCTCAGTCTCTGAATGGACTAAAAGTTGGGGAAGGATATACAAATGCCTGGGTCCCTGTAGAGGCCAGATCCCTGGGTCCTGAGGAGACAAGAGTTGAGGGTCTAGATAATGGGTATCCCTGAGCTATATAGAGATGGGGATGCCCATATCCCTGAGAGAATAGGGAATAAGGGTTGGAAGATCGAGGGGCCTGGGCTCCCAGGTCTCTGAACAGAACATAGATAGGGATCTTTGTGCCAGTGTCCCCTTAAATCAGTTGTTTTTGATGGTGTCTTTGATCCATTTGTTGAATGGGTAGAGGTTGGTGTAGACCCCAGGCCTGTTGGGCTTTCCACAGGGAATATCACCCCAGGATACCAGGCCCTGAAGCACTCCATTGCAGACCACGGGGCTCCCCGAGTCACCCTGGGAAACAAGAACAAGAAAAAGAGAGAAGGGAGAGACAAAGAGGGATAAACAAAGATGAAGAGAGATGGAGACAGCAACAAATGGAGGGAAATAGAGACAGAGGGAGACAGGGAGAGACACAGAGGGAAAGGGAACCAGAGACAGAGAGAAATCGTGAGAGGCGGGGACAGAAAGAAAGAGACAAATACAGATGGAGAGACACCTTATGAACACTCATTTCAATCCCTCCCCTTCCTGGAACGTCTCCTTTTGGTCTTTCCCTCCGTCGCCCGCTCTCCCTTCTTGCTACACTCTTTACCTCCAATCTACCATCTTTTAGTCTTTTCCTCTGTCTTCCTTCCTACCCTTCCTTCCCTTATTTCTCAGATTGGGTGAGGCTTTCAAGGTTTACCTGACAAGAGTCCTTGCCATCTTCATCTCCAGCACAGAACATGCTAGAATTAATCTCCCCGGGGTAGGCCTTCCGGCAGGCCTCATGAGACAGGATCGTGATGTCAAGACACTGTAAGACCTGGGGAAAGTGGACTGAGAAACCAAGTGGTGCGGTCAGAGACTACAGCTGGGACAGCCACGCCAACAAGTTCATAGCTCATGGAGCTGGAAGGGATTCTAGGGGCTAAGATCAAGTCCAACCAAGCCCCTCATTTGTGGGGGGATGGGGAAAATGAGGAAACAGGCCCAAGGGGGTTAAGGCTCCTGCCAAGGAACGCACAGAGAGTTGGTAGCAGAGGAAGATTTTGAAGTCAGATCCTATGACTCCAAATTCAAAATTCTCTCCAGATAGCTGGAAACTGACACAGAGATGGCTAAAGACCAGAGTGGGAAAAGGAAGACAGAAAAAGAAAGGGCCCAGGACTCACCCTGAGGGCTGCTGGTGGTCCCCCAGCCTGAGACGAGGCACTGGGCCCCGGCAGTTGGGGCCTGAGTTGTGATGTTGATGGGTTTGATGCCTTTCTTGCCTACAATCTTTTGGTTCAATTTAATTAGCATGAGATCGTTAGAGTGAGCTGGTCGAGTATAGTTGGGGTGGGGGAAAGACTGGATACCACGGAGAATCTTCTGGTCTGCCTGAAAACCATGGAGACGATAACGGCCCAGCACAACAGTATAGGAACTGGAGAAGATGGTGGAGAGGTCACTCTTGCACCCTCCCCACAGTCCCATCCTCACTGCCAGTCCTCTAGAGGCCCATGGGATTACATATCATTTAGCATTGGAGCTCTGTCTCCATGTCTCCAAAAGGAAGGTACCTGTGATCTGTCCAGGTGGAGATGTCCCAGGGACAGCTGGAAAATTGGGCTAGATTTGAGGGACAGGGCATCTAGTGACCTTAGAGTCTGAAAGAACTGAGTTCAAATCCCACCTCAGACATATATGTTGTTAAAGTACTTGCTTATAAATTCAAAACTTTAATATTTTGATTCCATACCTGCTACATAATGAGTGGCAAGTCATAATCTTTATGAACCTCAGTTTCCCCAAATGGAAAATGAGATTGACAATATCTGAATACCCACTTCCCAAGATTGTGAGGTTTAGATGAGAAGGAAAGAGGAAGGAAAGGGAATAAACATTTGTATAGTACCTGCTACCAGATGTTTTACCAATATTATCTCATTTGATTCTCTCGACAACCCTGGCAAGTCTGGTTATCGTATTATTCCCATTTGAGAGTTGAGGAAATTGGAACTGTCAGAAGGGAGGTGACTTTCTCAGAGTCACATGGTTAGTGGCTGCCATCAGATTTTGAACTCGAGTCTTTCCACCTCCAGTGATAATGATGCTAATGATGCGATAACAGAACCCTCCAGCCTAGCACTTAACAAACAATATCTCATCTCAGACTCATAACCCTGGCATGTGGGCGTTTACAGATAAGGGCATGGACAGTCAGAGAACAGAAAGGACTTGGTCAAAGTCATGCAGCTATTAAGTGTCTGGGGCAGGATTTGAACCCAGCTCTTCAGGACTCCAAAGCCAGCACTCTATCCACTAATCCATAGTACCTCTGAGTTATTATCTAGCGTCAGAGACAGAATTTGAACCCAAGTTTTGCTGACTTTGCTCACTACTCTGAGTTACCCTTTATCCCCAACCCCTCTCCCTTCCTTCCCACCCCCTACCTCACCTCCATCTCTCCACTCTCCTTCTTCTCTCCCTTCCTTCACTTTCCCTCCCCATCTTTATTCCAGTCCCTCCCCTCCTCATCCCCATCCCCATCTCTCCTCCTTCCCTCTTCACTTACGGTTTCTGGCAATGTGCAGCAGTGAGTACCCACTGGGGATGGACCAGCACTGCCCCACAAAAGAGGCTCTCTGGTTTCAGAAACAAAGCTGCCTGCCAGGGTTGGGTTCGGGGCTCACAGTCTTTGCCATTTAAGATGCGATTCTCAGTATCTCCATCGACATTACCATGCTGGCGGTTCTCTGCCTGATGGCCACTCCCAGTTTGCTGGCTGTTCCCATACTCTTGGCAGGCCTGGTTCCCCAGGCTGGCCCCATTCTTCTGGCCTGGGGGTGGGATGAGGGTTCATGGTAGGGGGAGTTAGGGCCAGAGCTTGGGGTGGGGCCCAGGCTCAACAAATGGTCCTTGGGGTATAGGATTTAGGATGGGGTAGGGTGTGGCTGGATAGAGTAGGTGCAGGTTGAGAGGAGGCAGGATAGAGCTCTTGGGCAGCTAACCCATTGAGTTATTACTCTAAATGATGAGCATCTGCCTTCCCTCCCCAGATTCCCTTCACCTGTTCCAGTTCACTTCTCCCCTTCACTGCCAACTTCCTTGAAATCCACCGTGCTCACCCAAAGCTTTTAATCTGGCTCCTCTTTCCCATCACTGCTGCTCTACTGAAACGGCTTTTTTCAAGATGGCCAAGGCCGCTTTCACTGTCCGGCTTCCTGAACTGAACCATTCTGTCCTTGTTTCCTATGATTCCTCTGAAGCTGATGACACAGCTGCCCACCTTCTCCTTCCTTTTTCTTCATGGACTCTGAACCCTCTTGGTTTTCCATCCACAAGACCCTTCCAGGGTCCTTCTTTCCAACCAACTCTTCCCTCCCTTTTCCTCCTCCTTCTCCTCCTTTTTCTTTTCCTCCTCTCTTTCTCTCTGTCTCTCTATCTCTCTCTCCACCCTCTCTCATCCCTCTCTGTGTCCTGCATATTCACACTCTCTCCACTCCACCCTCTATACGTGACATATATTCACACAATTCCAGGCTCACACACCCTACCTGTCAGGCCTGGGTTTCCCATGGTCAGAACTGACATCAGGAATGCCAGCATCCAGGTCCAAGGGGAACTTACTGGAAGCATCATTACTGCACCTGGGAGTTGGGGATAGGAGGAGGGAGAGGAGGTCAACCTCCAAGGCCCTGTTCTAATGATAACTCACATTTCTCTAGTATTTTTGACTGTCCAAGAAGGCAGAAGGTACAAGTTAGTAGTGCTGTGCTTATTTTAAAGATGAGGAAACTGAGGCTTAGATGATGTGCTAGCCAAGATTACATTTACACAAAGTAAGTGACGGACACAGATCCAAAGCCAACTACTGTTTTCATGGGGTCATAGATCTGGAATTGGAAAGAACCTTAGAGATCTCCTAGTCCAACGCCCTCATTGGGTAGACAAGGAAACTGAGTCCCAGGACCATTAAGTGACTTGACTGAGGTCACATGAGTAGTAATTGGCAAAGCCAGAATTTGAATGGCCAAATTCTGATTCTGGACCCTGAACCCTAAGCCCTAACCCAGCCCTTTGTCTACACTCTTTTTCATACCCTTCCCCACCCCTCTCTGGGCAGACATGCAGGGGATAGAGAGTTTCAGAAAGGAGGTCTGGGCTTCAGTCATTGAGGGGAGGCCCAAAATGAGACTGAGGTGAGGAGGCACAAATATAGGCAGAAGAAGGTTAATAAAAAAAAAAAAAGCCACCAAGATCCAAAGAGAGACAAAGATGAGAAATAACAGATCGCCAGGGGAGAGATAAAGAAACGAATGCAGAGACCCAAAGAGAGACCGAGATAGGGAGTCACAGATAGAGCCAGGAGAATGATAACAAAAATGGCCACAGAGATCCAAAGAGAAAGATGGGGAGTCACAGAGATAACCAGAGGACAGAAATGGCTGCAGACACCCCAAGAGAGACTCGGGTGGGGAGGCACAGAGATAGCCAGAAGAGAGAAAACAGAGATGGCTGCAGACACCCAAAGAGAGACTGGGGTGGGAAGTCACAGAGATAGCTAGAGAAAAGAAAACAGAGATGGAGACCAGAAAAAGGGCAAAGAGAGAACCAGAGACAGAGAAAGAGAGGGTCACACAGTCAGAGCAAAGGATAGAGACCCACACACCCAGACCAGAACAAACAAACAGAACAGCCAAATGGAGTGGAAGAGATAGAGAAATAAGGTGCAGAGACATTCAGTGCTTTCAGGAGAACCTGAAAGGCATGTGCAGAAGGAGAAGCAGATGAGATGCCAGAGAGAGGCGCACGGAGCCATCCCACCAGGTCAATGCCAGAGAGAGTAACAGATAAGGACACAGCCCCACCGCATCCTTGGCAAAGGTACCTGCAGGTGGCCTTCGGGGTGTAGGGGGGCGGACTCTCGGCCACCAAGCTCTGCCAGGCTCCCCACCGGCCTTCGGTCCTTCAGCCTCTGGCTCTGGGTTCGCCTCCTCCCCAGCTTATAACTGGCTCGCCCCACCGCCCCCTGCCTTCTGCCCCCGGTCGCATTCCGAACAGGAGGGTGAGGCGCCTCGGGCAGGAGCTAGGATTAGGGTTAAGGTGCCTGCCCTCCGCCCTCGCCCCTGCCTGGTTTCCAGCTGCCGCCCGATGTCCAGAGGTGGCCGGGCCGGAAAGGCTTCCCAGCAGGGTCAGCCAGGGACTGGACTATGGACCTTGGACCCTGGTCAAGACAGCCCTTTCCGGGGTCTCGGCTCCTCTCTCTACCTGGGGTCTCTCTGTCTCGCATAACAGTGTTTCTGGGAGTTCAAGAAAAAAAGTCTCTCCTTCATGTTTCTCTATTTCTCCCTGCCCCTCTATGTTTCGAGTGGCTCTGTTTCTGAGTCTGCGCCCCTGCATCTCCACAGCCCTGAGTTTCTGCATCTCTGACTCCGTGCGTTATGTGTCTGGGTCACCGTGACTCTGGGTCTAGGGCTTTCTGTCTCCCTGTATTTGTGATTGTGTCTCTCTGTTTGTCTCTATGATTTTGTCTCCCTCTCCCAGCCCGATGGCTACGAGCTAACTGCATCGCTGCAGACTCCTTCACGCTGCCTCTGCCCCGATTCTATGGAAGCCGAGAGTGGGGGGAGGGGAGGGTGCGAACTGGGTGTGTTTGAGGGAGGGGGTAGGTACAAGGACCCTGGAGAGGGGAGGGAGGCAAAGGAGCTGTAGCAGGAGCAGAGAGAGAGGAGCCCTTCAAGCATGGGAACTTGGCTGGTACCCAACTGAAAGGGAGGGAGCAGAGAGTAGGAGGGGAGGGACCCCACCCTGATGGGGAAAGAGGCTCAGTCTGGAGGCTGGGGGCAAGGAAGGAAAGGGAAGAGAAGGGAGGGTCACAGGAAGGGATTGGGATCTTTAGGAAGCCCCACTCGCCCCATGCCACGTCCCCAACCCTGGGGCTCTATGATCCTGTGATGCTCGTCTCCTTGGAGACTACCTTGGTGTCTGCCTCTCCCTCTCTTCTCTCCTCCTCCTCCTCCTCCTCCTCCTTTTCTTATTTCTGTCTTTCTCTGTTTCTCTCTCTCTCCCTCCCTGCTCCTCCTTTCCCCTTTTTTTATTCTTATCTCTCTACTTACCTCCCTAAGTTCCTCTTTCTTTGTCTCTGTTTCTGTTCTGTCTCTTTCTCTCTGTGTGTCTGTCCCTCTGTCTCTGTTCCTCTCTGTCACTGTCTCTGTCTGTGTTTGTGTGTCTATCTGTCTCTGTCTCTGTCTGTGTTTGTGTGTGTCTATCTGTCTCTGTCTCTCTGTTTGTGTTTGTGTGTGTCTATCTGTCTCTGTCTCTCTGTCTGTCTCTGTCTATGTCTCTCTCTGTCTGTCTCTCTGTCTCTCGCTCTCTCTGTCCATACTTATTTCCTTCTCCATACTTCTGTTTTCTCAGCCCTTTCTCTTTCTTCCTGAGTGTGCTTGTCTTGATTTATTTCCACTTCTGTCAGTATTTCCCCCCTCTGGATCTCTCATGCTGTCTCTTCCCTTTGTTAAGGTCTCTCCCTCTCCCTGTCCCTTTACCTCTCCCCCACCCCCTCCTTCCCTCTTTGTCTTTATCTCTCTGTGTCTCTTGTTCATTGTCAGTAGGTAGGTCTAGCTTTGTCTCTCTACTTCTTCCCAGCCTGACTCCTTCTTGTCCATGCATTCTTTCACACTTCATTGTAGCTCTGACTCATCTTGAGCCTTCTCCACCTCCTCTCCAGGCTGAAATTAAAACACACAATTACCTTTCTCTTCCCCCTCCCTCAGATCCTTCCAGTTCTTCCCTGACCCTAGGGAGACAAAAGCACCAAGGCACAGGCCAAACCCAGCCCCCTGGCTCTCAATCTTCTTTCCACATAACTTTGCCCTAGGATTCAGAGCAGCAGAGGTCCCCGTGGACTGAGGTAATCAGGGAAGATTCCAGAAGGAAGTGAGACTTGATCAGGGGCTTGGAGGACAGACAAGTAAGAATTAAGACAGGAAGGTCACAGAATTGGCAAGGAGAGAGGGAGGATGATTTGGGGAAGGATAGAAGAATATGGGATTCAGAACTGGAATCTTAGAGATTGTACAAGACTTCACAGATAGAGATCACAAGGTCTATGACTTAGACTGTGCAAAAATACATCTTTATTTTCACAAAACCTTTAACTGAAATTTAGCTTTTCATTTTCCTTTTCCAAGTGCAAATGTAGGTAACAACCCATTACTCTGAGAAGGGTCTATTGCTTCACCAGATTGCTAAAGGTGTCCATCACACACACACACACACACACACACACACTTTAAGAACTTCTTTTCTAACACAAGCTCCTAATTTTAGAAAGGGAGGAATTGACCCCGAGAAGGATATTGATTTTGATTAAGGGATCAGATTGGTTTGTACAGAAAAGACATCCAATTCAGTTTATTGAATGTGTCAGTTTGTAGTGCACAGCTTCTGGTAGGAGAAGAAAAAAGACTAGGGTGAGTTTGGCACATGAGGACACGGAACCAGCCAGTAGGGTCAGAGGTCAGAAGCTGCAGGCGGAGGACAGTTGGCTTGAATTGTTCTTTGGATCCAGTCAGAGTATCGGCACACGTCAGTGTAGACTCCCGGTTTCTGGGCTGAGCCACAGGGAACCTCCCCCCAGGACACTAGACCACGAAGACGTCCCTGACACACTAGGGGTCCCCCGGAATCACCCTGTAGGGAGAAGGAGAGAAAGTGAAAGATCCAGACACAGATAGATACAGAGAGGAATGGAAACAGGCAGAAACAGAATTTACAAAGACAGACAGAGGAAGAAGAGCAGGAGAGACACACAGAGAGGGATTGATAGAATCGCAGACAGGCGGAAACACACTTGTGGGTCAGACTGGGCGATTGTTAGATTCAGAGACACCTCTCCTGCTCTTATCCTCACCCCAGCCTCCAAGAAAGCTCCTGGCTTGTCTGCCTCCTCTTTCTTTGTTTCAAATCCCACTTTTTTGTACGAGTCCCTCCCTAATCATCCTTCCTCTCCTTGTTTCTGCTAAACACTGCCCTCCAAAATTGCCTTCCGTTTACAACATATTATATTACATTACATTGTGTTGTATTATATTGTATTTATATTGTATTATGTCATATTATATCATGTTATGTTATATTATATTATGTTATGTTAGTTATGTTTTGTTATAGTATAATATATTATAGTATATTGTATTGTAACGTGTTGTATCTATTACATTATAGTATTACTAGGTGGTACGGTGGTTATAGTGCTGCACCTAGAGTCAGAAAGATTTATCTTCCCGAGTTTAAATCAGGCTTGAGACATTAGCTGTGTGTATCTGGGCAAGTCACTTAACCCTGTTTGCCTCAATTTCCTCAACTGTAAAATGAGTTGGAGAAGGAAATAGTAAACCAATCCAGTATTTTTGTCAAGAAAACCCCAAATGGGGTCATGAAGACAGACACAACTAAAAAACAACCAAACAATATATTGTATTGTATTGTATTTATTATATTATGTCATATATCTTATAGGTACATAGTCATCTGCCTGTTATCTCTCCCACTAGAATGTGAATTCCTTAAGGGCTGGGGTCTTCTGTTTGACTTTCCTTGTATCCCTAGCACTTAGCCTAGTGTCTAATGCAGAGTAAATGATTACTAAATGCTTGTTAACTGGCTGATTATCATATCACTGTTGTATTCTTAGGCTGTCGGTATCGCTTACGTTTTCCAGGTGCCCTTTAGCTCTCTATCTCACTGGGTTTCTGCTCTTCATTTTTCTGCATGCCTCCAGTTTTCTATCTCTGAGTATCTCTTTGACTGTCTGTTTGACTCTGAGCCTCACCCTCCCCAACTTGCCTGGCAAGAGTCTGTTCCACTCTTCTTGTCTCCTGCACACACCATGTTGGCAGTAATCTGGTCGGGATAGGCCTGCTGGCAGGTCTTGTGAGGCACAAGGTGGATGGAGGCACACTGGAGTACGTCTGGGTAATGACCTGGGGAGAGACAAGTAGGCGAGGGACTGGGGTCACGTGGTAGAGGTCTAGAAGCTGCTAAAACAGTTACTTCATTCAACCATATTCTATAAAAAGTTTGCTTCTCCCACTATTGATCTTTCCTATTAGAGGTCCTATCCAATGATCTTACAATTCTTCCCTCCCAATTTTATCCCCTCCTTTCTAGTTCCTTCTGATCACTGATCCCTTCTAACCCTGGTCCTCCCCACTGTTGGCCCCTCCCATCACTGGCCTTTCCTACTATTAGCCTCTCTCCCCATTGGTCTTTATCATCATGGTTCCCTCCCTCTATTGTTTTCTCCCACCAGTCATGCTGCTTGTTCATTCCAGTTGATTCTCATTCTCCATCCTTCTTACCCAAGACTGATGGCACTCTTAGTCCATCCCCAAGTGTTTCTGCTATCAGTGATGTCTCCCACTATTTATGACCATTTATCAATGATTCTTCCAGTTGACATTGGCCCTTCCCACCATTTGGCCCTCCATTTGGCTGTTTCTGTCCTCACACTCACCCTGCACATCTGTCTTGCCCCAGCCAGAGATGACGCAGGATGAGGTGGAATTGTCTGTGCAGTCTGATTTGGAAGGAAGAGCCAGAGGCTGGATGTGGGGCGACAGAGTCATGGCCCGAGGTAGCTTCAGCAGCATGATGTCATTATCATGTGGAACTCTGTTATAGGCTGGATGTGGGATAGCCTGGACAACTGTGCTCAGCTGCTGACTTTGTTCCCACTGCTGAATGTTGTGTTTGCCCAAGAGGACCTGTAGTCTCCTGAAGGAGAAATCCAGGTCTTTCCTTGGGCCCTCTGACCTTGGCTGAGGCCCCATTCCTTCCCTGGGTTATCACAACCATCCCTTGATTCCATGACACACAAAGTAGTTTTCTAGAAGAGAATGGGTCTGAAGGTGAATGTCCCAGTCTTCCACACTTCCTTTTATCCCAAATTCATGGTGATAGGGAAGTACCTCCTGGGGCCTAACCACAATGTCTCCCATCACTGGGTCAAATGACTTACGGTTTTTGACAGTGAGCAGCACTAAGAACCCATTGAGGGTGTATGAGAACTCCACCACACAGCAAGTGGTCTGAATAGAAGAGAGCAACCTGGTAGGGGTGTTCTCCCACTCTACAGTTGTAGCCATGGGATCCCACAACCTTGTCCCTGTCCTCAGCCCAGCCTGTGGGAGAAGAAATAACACCATAAGGTAACCCCCAAATGCAACCTCATCCTTTTTCTGACATCCACCCAAATGCATCTTCATTCTGGTTCCATAACCTGTTCCCACTCTAAACCCCATACCCTTCTTCATTTATATCCCCACTCACATTCCCACTTCCAATTCCACAACCATTCACATCTCTACTCTAAATCTCATCCCACCCTTATCTCCAATCCCACTTCTATCCCCAAACCCATCTTTACGTTCATCCCTCATCTTTTTCCTCATTTCTATGGCCAATCCCACATGTACCCCATCCCCATCCCCAATCCCATCCCTACCACAAGTCCCATCTCCATCCCTATCCTTATCTCCAAACCTGTGGTCACCAGTATCAAGGCCAGCATCAACAGTTCCATGACCATTCCTGGGGAAAGGGGAAGGAGCTTGATTGGTTCCTAAAACAGGCCCCACCCCTTTTTAACCCCAACTCTTCACCCGGAGTTGGGACACTTACTCATCCCTAATGACCTTTGTCATACTTTATCTCTGATAAATTACCATCTCTTGACTTTGATCTCAGCTCTCTTCCTCAATTTTCACTTGACTCATCAATTCACTTCTCCAATCTTAAAATGCCTTAAGAGCCAAGACTCCTGGTTTTTTTGTACAGTCTTAGAAACATAGGACCTTACAGTGAGAAGGTACTCCAGAAAGCATTTGCTCCAATCTTCACCTGACAGAGAATCCCCTCCCCATCCCCCCCAAATGGTCATCCAACCTTCTCTTGAATGACATTGAATCATCCATATGACCCCAGATAAAGCCCTTCCTTGCTCTGGACCTCAGCTTGCTTCTCTATAAAATTATCAAGGGGGAGAGAGGAAGAGAACTAAATCACTTGAGCATTCTGGGCCTCGGTTTCTTTTTCTGTAAAATGAAGGGATTTTTTTTTTTCTAGAGAATCCCTCAGGTCTCTGTAGCTTATTAACCAGAGTTTCTCCATTCTTTTCCCCATGGCCTTCTCTCTCCCCTTGGCTTTTCAGGGCTCAAAAGATGGGAGAGAAGGTTCTGATCTTACCTGCTGAGTGAAATCCAGCTGGAATCCTAGAGAGAGACATGCAGAGAAAGGAGAAAGAGAGAGGCAGAGACAGTGAGACACAGATGCAGCAGCAGAGGCAGAAAGAGGGAGAAGGGAAGAAATCACAGGGAAAGACAAGAGACAAACATACGAAGAGAATCCCGGAGACAAAGAGACAAAGACTGAGTTCCCTCCAGGGAGGAATGGGTGAATCTGGGCACTGTCCGTCTCTCTCAGAAGTCCATCCTCACATCTGCTGTTCCAGCTCCCCGCCTTTTAACCCCTGCCTGCCCAGGGCCCCAGGCCCTGTTCACTCTCCACCCCGTTCCTGCCCCCGCCCACACCTCCCCCAAACATTCTTCCGAACACCAGAAGCCCTGCCCTCCGTTACCCTTTGACCTCAGATGCCTAGGTTCTGCTGGGGTGAAGTTTGATTATCCGAGCACCTAAAAGCCTTGAAGACTCAGGGGAAGGCCCACAGGGTCTGATAAAGAATAGCAGCTGGGTGGTGGATGGGGGCAGGGAAGATGGTAGATGTCCATATCTTCACAGTAGCAGGACCTAGATGCCTGAGCTCAGAGTTTCCTGGAGGTACAGATGAAAGGGAGATAAGCAATCATAGAATACAATCCCCACGTTTTACAGACAAAGAAACTGAGACTCAGAGACAGTAAGGGCTAGAGGAGAGCTTAAAGTGTGAGTGTGTGTGTGTGAGTGTGAAAGTGTGTGTGTGTGTGAAAGTGCATATGTGTGTGAGTGTGTGTGTATGTGTGGTGCAGTAAGGCAGAATTCAGGGTCCTTGATGGTACAGGGTATCTGGACGCTCTGGGTGCCTGGGTCCCTGAGGGGGTGGAACCAGGGATCCTAACACCTGGGTTCAATGGGTTTGTGCTGACTCAACCCTCCTGCTGGTAAGTCCCTCCATGGACACCCACAAAGTCAGTAACTGTGTTAGTGTGTGTCACAGGGAGGGGCCCCCTCCCCCAGCCTGGGGACAGGGTGGGGGGCCAGGGGAGCAGGAAAGGGAAGGATGGGGAAAAGAGGCAGCCAGGCCAAGAACAATAGCCCTGTGTTCAAACCGGACTGATCAGACAGTTCCCTACCAGCCTGTGGCTCTAACCCTGGGCCTCATTCCCACCTGCAGCAGAGTCCTTCCCTTCGCAGCTGTGTCTCTGTCCAGCACTCTCCAGCTGCCCCCTGAGTTTGTTCTGCGTGTTACCGACATTACACGTGTATTATCTTTCTGCTTCCCTACAGGATTCTCTGTCTCTTTCTCTGTCTCTGTCTCTCTGTCTCTCTCTCTCTTTCTCTCTCTCTCTTCCTTTCTCTTTCTCCATCTCTCTATCTCTGTCTGTATGTCTGTCTTGTCTCCCTCCCTCCTTTTTCTTCCTTCCTTCTTTCCCTCTATTTTTGGGAAAAGGGCAGAGAAGGGGAAGGATTTCATATATATGCATGTACATGTGTGTACATGTGTACTTCATTCCATATTTAGGTTTATCGTTCTGCTTCTCTCTAGGTGTCTCTCACTGTGTGTCTTTTTCTTCACCATTCTTAAGCCTCCCCCTTCCCACCCAGGGATTTCTATGCCTCTTTCCAGGGATGTCTCTCTGTTTCTGTCTGTCTCTGTCTGTATTTGTATCTGTCTATCTGTCTGTCTGTCTGTCTGTCTGTCTCTCTGTCTCTCTCTCTCTCTCTCTCCCCATCTTTCTCTCTCCCCATCTCTCTCTCTTCCCCTATAGCTAAGCCATGCCCTTCTGGACACTTTGGGGCTCCAGTCAAACTGAATCATTTGTATGTAGGAAGATCCAATGATCAGAGCCTCAAATTTCTCATCTGAAAATGGGAACAATAATACTAGCAACACCTGTCTCATCAAAATGTTGTAAAGAAAGAACTTTTACCTAGAGCAGCACCTTTGAAATGCTACAGGATGTGAGCTTTTATTATTCTTGCTATCCCTAAAGACAGTAAAGAGGTCAAGACTGCTAGAATGGTCTCTCTTGCCCTTCATGCAGCTAGGTGGTGCATGGATTCATCTTCCTGAATTCAAATCCAGCCTCAGACACATAGTAGCTGTGTGACCCTGGGAAAGTCACTTAACTCTGTTTGCCTCAGTTTCTTCATCTGTAAAATGAGCTGGAGAAAGAAATTGCAAACCAGTCCAGTATCTTGGCCAAGAAAATTCCAAATGGGGTTACAGGGAGTCAGAAACAACTAAACAACAACAAGGGAAACATGGGTGGAAATAAAAGAAGTTGGGGGGATCTTGGGGGAATATGGAGATATGTGAGAAATATAAAAGGAATTCCAGGCAATGCACACAAAATCCTACTCTGGTGCCTTATTTTGGCATGGAAGTGACCCTCATGTCCCAAGAGCTTTGCAAATCCCTGCTTTCCAAAGGCCAGCCTATTTAAGCAGAGAGAAACTCATGAACAAGTGTCTGTCCATCTGAAGAAGAATTCTTGAAGCAAAGAGACGAAGAAAATGTCCCTAAGTTTTGTGTAGCCTTCTTCCCAAGCAACAGTGTCAGGATGGCAGAAGAGGGTCAGGGAGTACTAAGGGTCACCCAGTTGTTAGAGTCTCTATAAACATTCAGTTGACTGTTGTTACTTTTCTAAATGTGAGATTTCTGTCCAGTAATGAATGGCATAGAAAAAGTCAAATGATGCCAATCTTGCCATCCTTGCTATAAAGGAAACCAAAAGAAACAAGGAAGGTGTACCTAAAGGAAGTGTGATTCACAAGGAAGAGAAAAAAATGAATTGAATTGGCTTTATTATATATCCAGGAACAACAAGAAATATTACTTCTTGAGCTATTTGATCATCATGTATTGCAATATTCATGATAAGTATCAGCAACACACACACACAAACACACACACACACACACACACACACACACACCATGAAAACAGCTACGGAAGCAGCCAAGTGGTACAGTGGAGAGATAGAGCACTAGGCCAGGAGGCAGGAAGACCTGAGATCAAATCCAGCTTCAGATATTCAGTAACTATGTGACCTTGAGCAAGTCATTTAATTTCTGCTTGCCTCAGTTTTTTTTTTCTCTAAAATGGGCGTAATAATAACACCTCCCTCCCAGGGATATTGTGAGGGGCAAATGAGATGATAACTATAAAGCCTTAGACACATAGTAAGCACTATTCAAATGTTAGCTATTACATATATATGTACGTAGTATGTAGTATGTATATGTGTGTATTATGTATGTAAACTGACCAATTTCCCAAATGCAATCTGGAACTCTTCCTTCTCTTCAATTCTGCCTTGAACAAGGACTGCAGACAGGGTGAACAGGACTTAGAACCGAAGAGGAGGAAGAGAGTTTGGGATTATATTTGTGAAGAAAGTGGGCAACACTTTCAATGGCCTGAACCCTCTTTCTCTCCCTCTCTCTCTCTCTCTCTGTCTCTGTCTCTGTCTCTCTCTCTGTTTCTGTCTCCCTCTATCTTTCTCTGTCTTTCTCTCTGTGTCACTCTCTCTGTCTCTATCTCTGCCTCTGTCTGTCTGTCTCTCTCTCTCTCTGTGTCTCTCTCCCCCTCTCTCCCTCTCTTTCTCTCTCTCTCCCTCCCCCTGTCTCTCTGTCTCTGTCTCTGTCTGTCTGTCTGTCTGTCTCTCTCTCTCTCACACACACGTTGAAATTATGGGTCATTGAGTGTAACAGATGGCCAACAGGGAATTTTGCATGATACACAGTTTAAATGATGTATGGCTAGGAAAAAAAAGTGGGTCATTCTCATAATGTGAGCCAATAGATGGGCAACTAGTAGATTACAATAGTGTTTGCTTAATGTCCAAATTGACTGTAAAGGACATATAAAGAAAGACGCTATCTGTATCCAGAGAAAGAACTGATGAATAGATATGTATATATAATATGCATATAATACATATCATATAATGTACATATAATTTATAGTATACAATAAATATGTATAGAATAATTTTATATGAATAATTTACATACACATACACATATCTATCTATCTATCTATATATATACCTATTTGTGTCTAATGGTAGCCATCCCTAGGGCAGGGGGGAGGGGAAAAGGAAAAAAGATAAGAAAAATAGAAATTTACATGATAATTGTATTATGTATTTAAAAGGAATAGTAAGTTGTACATAATAGATTTGCAGTTTCATGTGTGATCACATTTTTATTATGCTGTGTTAAGGAAATGCTTATTTTATTCCATAAAATAAAGTAAAATTTTTAAAAAAGACTCTAAGCAATGAAATCAAGGCATGTACAATGTGAAATAGGATATATGTATATATATATATATACATATATATATGTGTGTGTGTGTGTGTGTGT